GGGTACTTAATTTTATTATTATTGTGTCCTCTGAGAGCACAGAGCAGCAGAGCTGACTGGAGAAAGCTTTTATCTGAGAACAGTGGGATTGGCTCTTGTCTTGAGAGATGAGACAAAGGCCTGGCCCTACTTTTTTTTTTTTTTTCTATATTTTTTTTTTTCTTTCGAACAGTATAAAGTGAGGCTGCTCTACTGCAGTCAGAATAATGGGAAGGTTTCAAAATTCTGTCACACTGCAGGGTGAGCATAGTCAAAAATGGTGAGTTTGGGGTAGCTGATCCTAGTCCCTACAGAGAAACAATATGGTCAAAGGGAAGGACTGGACCAGGGGAGTGCAGTATAAGCAAAGCAAGGTGAGGCTAGATTTCCTCCTTGAACAGAGCCAGCTAAGGAAAGTTTGGTAGATTAGTAAGAAAGGAGTGCTGCCTTCCGTCAGTGCATAAGAAACTGACACTCCAAGGTGGGGGGTGCGCTGGTTCTAGAAACGCCTAGTGCTTCCATTCTCTAAGGCAGGAGTCTTCAAACATTTTAAACAGGGCGCCAGTTCACTGTCACTCAGCTGTTAAGGAGAGTGGCATGTGGGCTGGACTAGTCGGCTGCTAAGCAGGACAGACAGTGGCAGCAACAAAACACCCAGAGGCCGGATAAGTGCCTAAGGTGGCGCATGTGGCCCGGGGCCGTAGTTTGAGTACGCCTGCTCAAAGGTCAGGCAGCAGTTAACAGGCCCTCACCTCCACCAGGATGACAACTCTCTCCCGACCCTGGAGCAGGCCCTGCCTTAAAGAGGAGACCAAGGCTGATGGTCATCCTCATGCCTTCTGGACCCAACCCAGAGCAACCACAGGGCCCTGAGCACATGATAGGTCAAAAAAAGACCTGCACAATTAAAAAACCTTAAAGAAGTAGATGGTCCACACTTTAACCATACGCTCAGGGCATTTATCCCAGCTTCTCTTTGACTCACAAGGACTGGGCCTACAGGTTCTTTTGTCTGCCATGGACACCGTGGCTTATGTCATTAACTTTACTGAGGCATGTGAGTCTTGCTTTAGGAATTTCAGCAGGATTGCTTGAGCCCAGGAGTTTGAGGTTGCTGTGAGCTAGGCTGATGCCACGGCACTCACTCTAGCCTGGGCAACAAAGCAAGACTCTGAATCTAAAAATAAATAAATAAAATACAAACGGTAAGTTCAAGCTTTTGGTGGGTACTTATGACCTATAAGGAGCATTGTCAAGGGGGAGAGGGGACACATGTGTGACTGAGGCTCTGCTTGGCCACCCAACCTTAGCATGTGTAGGGAAAGAGCCCATGAGCACATACACCCTGCCACAGACTGACCCAACCTGCTCACATCGTCCTCACTCCCACGGGCTTCCTGTCCTACCCGGCCACCCAGACTGCCCTACCTTGTCTCTTCACCCCATCAAGGCAGGGCCTATGTCCTCCCCCAATACCTTGCCTGCATGGCCTGCCTGCTGTGATTCGGAGGCCAGACCCTGATTCCTGAGCTGGTTGGAATTGGGGTCCTGCACCTGGAACCCAAAGCCTCAGGTTCCCATGCCTTCTCTTTCCCTCATGGGGTCTGTGAGGATATAGGCCTCTCTTTTCAGCTTCCTGCCAAGGGCTGGCCCTGCCAAGGCAGGACCTGGAGTCAGGACAGCTGAAGGGAAAATGAGCATATCTATCGACCCCAAAGCTGCTTCATAGCCATTTCCAGTGTTTTATATATTCTAGAATTTTATACACAAAATTATACAGTAGGTATTCTCTATGTCTGCCTTCTTTCACTTGGCATAATTACTTTGAGATTCAGCCATGCTTTAGTCTGTATTGATAGTTCATTCCTTTTTATTATTCACGAGTATTCTATTGAATGCATGTACCACAATGTATGTGTTTGCTAACGGGAGGATTTTTGAGAACTTCCGACTTTTTAGCTGTTCCATAAGCTATTATGAATGCTCACATATAACCTTTGCAAGGGCCTATGTTTCCATTTCCTTTGTGTATGTGTTACTTCTTTCTTTTGTTGTTTTTTTTTTAATATATTTAAAGATCAAATACGCCACTATCTGTTACTTCTTTAAAATGAATCTTACATAGTTCAAGTGCAGCTAGTTCATCCAGGCTCTTTACCAGCAAATCTGGGAACAGAGGCTTTTTTAATTTTCCACTTTTGATTTCACATGGTTCTTGTTCTACTTCATTGAAACAGGGGCCAGCCAGGCCCCTTTGCCTGGCTAAGGGTGAGAGTCTAGCTGCCCTCAGTGTTACCCAGCACTGTGAGCCCAAGGGTGGGCAGCATGAGCCCAGGTCAGGAAGGAGACTGAGACAATAAAAGAGCTCCTCTTTCTTCTTTTCTAGAAAAAATGGAATATTTAAAAATACATTAAAAAGGAAGAAAAAATGAACACAAAAGATAAACTATAGAAATGGAAGCCACAACACGAAATTTCATCTCAGTCTGGATCCAAAAAAAAAAAAAAAGACAAAACAAGAGAAGACAAGACAAGAAAAGAAAGGAAAGGAAAAGAAAAGAAAAGAAAAAAGAAATGGAAGCCAGGTATAATGCCATGATAACTAACTGGCCCTTCATTCATTCACCAAATATTTACTGGGAACCTGCTGATGCCAGGAGAACTGCTAAGGGCCAGTCCCTTGGAATTTAGAGTGATCCAGAACCCACCTTGGTCCTTGTACTCATGGAGCATACTCCACTGGGAGCAAGAGACATGAGAAGCAGGGATCCTGGCACACTGGAGAGCTTGCAGCAGGGCCATCAGGCCTGTCTGCAGGGGACTAAGGGAGGACAGCATGCCGAAGCACACCTAGCAAGAGGCTTTGGCATGCGGCAGTGGCCACAGGGCTCAATGGGGACCAACCACAAGAGGCTTGTAGAGTGCACAGCAAGCCAGCAGCCTGGGCTCCCTTCCCACTTGCCTACATTCCATCCCGAAAGTATCCTTTTCTGTGTGATTTCCTTTCCCAGGTGAGCTCCCTGAGCTGGGCAGCACATCTGAGAACTTATGCCTGGGGCTTGGCACAGATTCCACCAGGTCCTCCATTAGAGTCTGTTTCCTCTTCCCCCTGCTGAAAGGAGGTGATCGTCCTCTCTATTTTGTAGGAGAGAGTGGGTTACCTACTGTGTGAGTTACCTACAGTGGGTTACCTACTGTTAAGCACCTCAGGCATGTCCTGGCATGAATAGTTTGGGGGTGGTCCCTGAGTGCTAAACAGACTTGCCAGGGTTGGGGCTCCTGCCTTGTTTCTGTGGCATCTCATTTCCATAGCAATCTGTTAACGAATTGTTCGTCACACCCCTCATCTTCTCCCCAATCACTCACACACACACACACACACACACACACACACACTCCCCCAACATCCTGCTTCCAGCAGCCTTCTGCCCAGGTAAGGTTTAGCCCATCCCTCTGTATTGTGTCAATTCCTCTGCACAAGCCCCTCCCAGTGCACCTGGCCAACCCCAGCCTTTCCCTATTCTATACAAATACACCTGACTACACACAGCGCTTTAGACTTCCTGCTCCTGTTCTGCACTCTCAGGTAAGGACCTGGCTCTGCTCACTGTTGCCAGGGACAGGAGGGTCCCTCCATGTTGTGTATATGTGTGGTCATGGTCTCCTGGGGCATGTGTGTGTGCATTAAATTGGCACCTTTGCCTCTGTGTCTTTGTGTGGTTGTGCACCTGCATGATTGTCCTTCTGCCCGGCCCCCACTCCTAGGCTGGGCCCTGCGCCTCCAATCTCCACTTGGGTTATGATGGGCTTATAGCCTCTGCCATGCCAGGCAGAGGGGCTTAGCTGAGGGTTGAAGGGATTGTATCAGGCTCCTTCTGGACCTGCCAACTCCTGCCCCTCAAACACCCGGGCCTGAACTGGGGAGATACAGTCCAAACATTGTCTTTGCTCCTTCTCCCTACCCAGACCCTGACTGGTGCCAAGGTGTCCTTTACCCCTCCCTCCCCCAAGTTCTGTCCTGTCGGTGTCTTCCAGCCTCAACACTCACAAAGGGAAAGGATGGGGGAGCATACGGACCAGGGCTATGGTGCCCAGGCTGACCTCAGCTGAACATTTATGGCACAAGCAAAACCAATAAAAATGGGTGGCTAAGGGGGTGCAGGGACCATGTCTTGAAAGGGAATGGGGTCACTGTATCGGGGGGCTGTTTGTAACTCTAGGCTAAGCAACCAAATGAGCACCAGAGAGCTCTGTTGTTAACTATTTGGTCCTGATGACACATACTAGACTCTGATTTGTGAGTTTGGAAAAAATATATGTACTGTGTGTGCAGTGGGTCTATTGTAGGGTTGTCCATGTGACTTCCATGTCAGCGATAAGCAAGGCAAGGCCAGGCCTTGGCTTCAGGACACCACAGCATCCTCTATATGATGAGAGCAAGACTTGTTGGTGAATGACAAATTGGCTCAGACCCTAAGTTCACGCCCCCTTCTAATCCTGGTGGGAGGAGACAGGAACAAGCAGCTAGGACCCTGGAAGGCTTTCTGTTAACTTCTGCTTCAGAGCAAAGTTCATTTGGTGCCCTGGATCCCTCAGAGACCCCTACCCCAGCCCACCCTGCCTGTCCCAAGCTATGGGTGCACTGATCTGTCTAAGCCTCCCTCTCTCACCTCTATGCCCCATCTTTACACAGGGGAATCTATACGGACAGAGGTATCATGACCCGGTACATGGCAGGCACACAACACGAATACTTGAAATCCACCCAAGTAGAAATGAATTAACACATGCTTGTGAGCTGGGTGGGACAGGGGACAGGTGTAAGAGTTGGGAGTTCAGGGGCTGTCGCTTGGTGCTCTCTTGTGTCTCTGTCTACCCACCACGTGGGTGAACCCACTGTGTCTATTCAACACCCTGCCTGGCACCTAGAGTGCCAGCTCCATATGGGTGACAGGCTAAGCCAGAGGAAGCAGTTTATCCCTTTTGTCCTTTGAAGGAGATGTGTGCATCCCTGGGAGGGAAGAAGGAAAGAGGTTGTGATTTAGATTGCAGGATCTAACACGCTACCTGTTGAACACAGGTGATCCTGTGTCACTCCCTGTACTTGCCCCATCAAGATGCATCCGGGTAAGCACCGTGGCTGGAGGGCTGTGGGGTGGAAGAAGGAAGAGAGAAGGAAGGAGAGTGGTGAAGTCAGTGCGATCAGTCAGCCATATCTACTGCACACCAAAAACATGGCTGTGTGTGTTTGCGTGAAGGTGGTGGCAGGGTCCGCAATGACAACAAGCCCTTACAACATGTTACAGGTGGGGAAATGTAATTCCCCACCCTTCATCTCACTCAGTCTTCAACCTGAGGACTAATGCAGTCAGGTGCTTGTCCCACTGCACACACAGGGTCCCCCATAGCTAGAGGCACATTCAGGGTAAGGCCATGGAGGTGTGGCTGGGTTGGAGCCCAGAACCCAGCTCTCAGCAGCTGTGCATCGGCTCCCCTCAAATGGAACAAGAGACCATCCCGGCCATTACAAAACAGCAGGCAATTCCCACCAAGGGAGCATTTACCAACACCCAGGACCACTCAGCTAGGCTGCTGCAGAGTGAGCCCACTGCACCCACAGCTGGGCAGGCTGATGGCCCAGTCCACGTGGATTTCCTGTAGGAAGGCACCACAAAGCTGAGCCTGAGAGATTTCCCTGTGGCAAGAGACATCTGCAAAGGCCAGGCTCTGAGATCAGAAAGTCACAAGCAGGAGGCAAGAAACAGCTGAGAGACTGAGCAGAGACAAGGCCTGAGATAAGGAGGACCTGAGGAAGGTGGGGCAGATGGGGAGGTTGGGGTGGCAGTGGCCTGGAAGTGGAAGAGAACAATCAGGGTTTGCCCCTGGGACGGGCCAAACTCAGTATCATGGATTTGGCTGAAGTTGGAAGAACACAGAACTGACAGAGTGGGGACAAGAACCCACATGTCCTAACTGGCCCCACTGCACCCAGGGAAACCCAGCCAGCTCTCAGAGGAACACAGAGATGAGCCTTGACTTTCATGCCTGTTGTTGAGTGAATGACAACATGCCTGTTGTTGAGTGAATGAATGCAGGAATGGTTGTTGGCACAGGGGTGGGTGCACAAGATCAGCGCTAGGGAGAAGACAGGGTTTTCACTGCAGAACAAAATGACCAATGCTGTCTCTTTTTCCCCCCTTCTCTCCCACAGGTCCGACGGTAGGAATCTTCCCCAACCCTCTCCCCTTTTTCCATCCCATTGTCATTTCCTCCAGACATCCAGCATCCTTCCCACACCCTCGGGGAGCAGCCACCACTCCTCTAAATGACAAGTAGAGAGCAGGCTCAGGCACCAGCCTCATGGGGCAGGACATCACTGTTCCCCCACCCCCTGCCTGCTGCAGCCTTCTGGCATCCTCTCCTCTGTTTTCCCATCTGTTTCTCTCCTTTCTTCACATCCTCTCCCTGCCCCAGCAGCCCATCCTCTCTCCTGCTGATTCCCCGCCTGTTCTATGCTTCTCTGCCTTCCTGGCTACCCCCACAGCCTAGGCGGATGGCTGGCTTGTTCCCAAGCCCCAACCACACTGCATGGCCCCTAGGACCTGCCTCTGCCAGAGAAGGGAGGCAGCCTGTGCTCTACCTCTTTCCCCCACTGGCTACCACCAGCAGATCTAGGCCTGGTCTCTGTCCCCCCTCCAGCTGCCACCCCTCAAACAAAGCAGCCATAGCAAGAGAGGCAGCTGGGAGGGGAACTGGCTGTTTCCAGGCATCATTGAGCCTGGATGGGGCAGAGGCTGCTCTAACATGGTCAGGGAAAGCCTCCAGCCCTGGAGCCTGCCTCTTTCTCATTTGAGCCAAGCACTAATCAGGCCCTAGGAGGCAGAAGCAGGCTATGGAGTTACCCAACCCCTACGTAGAGGCATAGCCTCACCCCTGCTCCACAGGGCCCCAGTTCCTTAGTGTCCCAGAACACAAGCAAGATGGTCTTGATGATTCTCCTCCCTGGGCCTGGGACAAGAGTCAAAGGAAGTCCTTTGGGGCCTCAGGAGTTCATCCAGCCAAGAGAGAAAATTAAATTACACTATTCCCAGGCCTCTTCTGGCTGAGGCAAGAAAACTTTGACTTTATTTTCTATTCTTCCTGATTTCCTGGGTCTGGCACTTGCTCAGGAACAGGCATGAGCTCACACATACACCTATTTACATTTACACACAACCACATACCCCAGGCATGTATCTAGGAACACAGAGGGCTTGATTATGCACCCACCCATGTACATGGACACAGATATAGCTATTTATATGTAAATGAACTTTAGACATGTACACACACCCCAACACAGAGAACACACACATCCCCACCTTGCCACCTCCCACCCTTGTTCTCCTCTGATGGTCCATCTCTCCTCCTCCTCCTGCTCAGTTCCTGTGTGGCCCCCGACTCAGCCTCCTGTCTCCCCTGACCCAGGCCCTTAGTAGCTCCTCTGCAACCTCCCCCAGCCTCACCCTTGCTCCTAAATATGGTGAGCTTGCAATTTCTAGTGTAGCAAAGCTTCTGATCACTCTACATGGGTTCCTAGGTGAGGGAAGGGAAGAGATGAAATAATTCTGTTTCTTAGATACAGATAAAATAAACTGAGGTCCAAGGTGTAGGAGTCATAACTCAGCTCAAGGAATAGAAACCAATAAATGTAGGTTGCTCCCCTTTTGTCTGCTTAGTGCTCTGGCTTCACCAAAGCAAAGGCCCAGGGCTGGGAGCATCACTTGCTATCCACGGCACCCAGCCCTCACCACTACCCCTTGCTTGCCCAGGAATCCTGAGTCCACCAGGGAAGTGAGGTAAACAGCAGTGGATCTCAGAGAAGTTTGGAACAGACCTCTGGCTCTGACAGTGCTTGTTTGACTTTCCACAGGTGAACTGCCTTGGTGGAGGGTATCCTCCAGGTTACTGTGGGCCCACTCCTGGCTGTGGCCCTTGGCCCTGTTGGCCTCCTCCTGACTGTGGCCCTTGGCCCTCTGGGCCCTTTCCTGGCTATGGCCCCTGGCTTTCTGTGCCCCCTGCTGCCTGTGGCCCCTGGCCCACTGGGCCCGCTCCTGGCTGTGGACAATCACCCTGTATGCCCCCTCCTGGCTGTGGCCCATGGCCCTATGGGCCTGCTTCTGGATATATCCCATGGCCCTGTGGGCCCCCTCCTGCCTGTGGACTATGGCCCTGTGGGCCACCTCCTGGCTGTGGCCCATATTACTGAGGAAGAAGAAGAGACACAAAATAGGGAGCCTAAGTGAATTGCCCTGCTGACCTGCCATGAGGCCAGGAGCCAGAATCTTCTTCTCCTAATAAACAGCCTGCTGGAAGCCACGTTATAGTCTTAAAAGAGTCTGTCTTCCTTCACATACAACCTGGTGGTCAGGGGGCCTGGATGTCTCTCAGTTCCCTAATTGTGACAATGGTGCACTAAGCCTGGCATTCTGAGAAGCTCAGCTCAGTGGTTCTCATATATGGCTGCAGAAGGTCACCTCTCCTTTCCTTTTCATTCCTGCCTCCTCCCATCATGGGACCTTAAGCATGAACTCATCACCATTACTCCATCGTGTGCACCCAGATCTGGTGGACCTTCCATCATCCCAGTTTACATAACTCATGCTACAGATCAGAAGCCTTCAATGGCTCCCTACTGTCCATAGATTACTGATGGATTTCTCACCATTCCCGGAAAATACATTGAACTTTCCACCCTCCTTAACTTTCTTTATACAAAGTTACACACTGCCCCACGGCCCAGGTCAGGAATGCCTTCCCTGTCTCCTACTTCCACATTTTCAAAGCCTACTCTCCTTCCAATCCAGCTGAAGCTCCATCATCTCCACAAAGCCTTCCCTAAGGCCTGTTAGAAAGAGAGGTCCTCTCTGCTTGCACACTGCCCCCTTCTCCACAGAAAGCTGCAGAGGCCCATCTTATGGGCCTGCCCATACCCTGCCCATTTGGCACCAGTTTATGTGCAGCCCTTTATCTTCCCAGCCAAACTGCATGTTATTCAGAGAAGACTCCTCACTTCTACACCTCTAGATTCTCCCACCACTACCCTTAAGACGAGTGCTGTGCATGGACTGGCCCTGACACACATTTTAGGGACAGAGTCCAAATGCTCCTGGGTTCTGACTCTCTCCCCAGCCCCAAGCCTTCAGCCAAGGCACCTCCCTGCCCCTTCAGACGGGCCCTGACCAGCCTGCTTGCTGTGAAACCCTTTACACCTATCCAAATGCCAACACATCCGGGGCCCTCTCCACTCCCACCCGCCAGGCCTCTCACACTGCCCATGTCCATTCTAGTTTTGCCACAGTCCTCTAGCCATGCCCATCATGCCCTGGTGTGCTCTATTCTCCCCTTTCTCACAGCTACTCCCTGATGGGGGAGCCGGCGAGTGTCCTGGAGTGAGTGGCTACTGGGCCCCTCCCAGGCTGATGTGGGTGGTATGGGTGACTATAAGAAAAGGAACTATGCACAGCAAGAGCATTCCTGAAAAAAAAGGAAAAAAATGCAAAAAAAAAAAAAAAAAAAAAAAAAAAACGCCTCCTGACTCGCTGCCACACCTCCTCCTTTCGCGAGATCCAATTTCCGACCCGCCCCCCTTAGGTCAGCCCCCGCCCATTGCCTCACCCTCTCGGACGGTCCCTGACCCCAACACGTCGTGTCCTGCATGTCCTCCTAAGGGCTGCGTCTGTCGCTCTGGCTCCTCTAGCTTCCGAGCCCCCCGCTCCCCTCTCAGCCCGCCCGACTGCACTCTTTGCTCGCGCGAGCCCCCAGCCCTCCCGTCTGGCGCTCCTCGCTGTCAGGTTGCGGGGGTGCGTGAGCGATGGATGGGAGCTTGCCAGGGGTGTTCTTGCGAGCCTGAGACTTGTGCCACGTACGGAGCTGTCCTTTCTCATTCATTGTCGTGGATTTTCTGCCTGCAGGCCGGCGTGTACATGTTGGGTTTCAAGTCGCCCTCTCGTGCCGCCATTGACACGTGGCTTGCAAGACGCGCTGTTTGTGTGTGCGCGCTTCTGAAGGGCTGCAGGCCGCTGATCTGGTTCACTTGAAGGAGCCACAGGCTGGTTGGACGGGACAGACGCACTTCCAGCGAGGGCCCGAGTTTCCCTGCCTCTCCCTCTCCCTTCCCCCAAGTATTTTAGTGAACAGGACAGCCCAGCCAGGTAGCGATAGTGGCCTCAAGTTTCTGTGCCCTGCTGCGTCGTGCCGTCCCCCAAATCGCCACTCCTTGCATGACGCTGCGCCTTTCCCTGCCTCTGCCTGAAGGAAGGTTCATGGGGTAGCGAAAACAGAGAGATAGACTGTGTCTCCAGCCTGCTGCCAGTTAAATGTCATTCTGGCTCGCTGGAGCGAGTGAGCCCCACAAGTGGGAGATTGAATGTTTTCTGCTTCTCTGTGTTGCTAACACATCGCCTGTGACCACATTTAGACCTCCTTCAGTTGAAAGGCCAGAACCTCCTTTCAAAGGGGTGAGCCAGGTAGGAATGGTTCCGCCAGACCTCTGTATTGGTGCCGTGAGCCATGGCACACTTCTCAGCGCCTGGGTCGGTGTGCTTATGCAATTCAAGAAAGAGCTCAGGCGGGGGCGCGGTGGCTCAGCCGCCTTCAAGCTAGTCCACTCTGGAGAGCCCGGCGCGGCGATGCCTCGAGGGTGGGAGTTCGAAACATCCTGGCGCGAGACCCCGCGTTACTAAATAGAAAGAATTAACGTTGACCCAACTAAAACGTACTATTATACAAAAAATGCCGGCATAGGTGGGCACCCAGCCGGTGGTAGTCCGAGCGTAGTTGGACGGCAGGGAGGGATCGTTTCGAGCCCAGGCGGTTGAGGTTGCTGTGAGCTAGGTGACGCCACGGCGACTCACTTGCCGCGGCACCAAAGTGGAGGACTCCTGTCTCAAAAAAAAGAAAAAAAAAGGAAAGAAGTCAAATATGCCCCTGCTGGCTAGGAGTAGCGCACATGGGACAGATACACAGTGATAGAGCAAGAACACATGATCCTTTACAACATGCGGCCAGGAACTTGGGATAGTTAATCTGGTATCTTTGTTTAGATTCACCTTTTTATGGTTCCTAGTGGTATCAGCTGCTGTCGCGCCTATCGTCCTGTCGATTCTGTTGGGATAACACGAGATGTCCATATGCCTGTGTATCTGTGGGTTGGGGAAGAGTGGATGTAATGCGCATGATATACAGGATTGCCCAGGTTGGGACTCAGTGTCTGGAGGGACCCCTGTCGCGCGAGGCCCTGGATTTGCTGTGGATGTTGGTTCTGGCGTGGCCTGTGTCACCACTTTCCATTCACCGCTTGCGCTGCCTACCCTGGCAGCTGCCCAGAAGCTCTCCCTCCCAGCAGGGCCATGCAATCTGGGAGGTGGAGAGAAAGCCCTTGGGAAAGGACGCGCCTGGGGGTACTGGTAATTTTATTTTAGATGGTTGTCCTGCTGACGGCCGGCAGCAGGGCTGACGGAGAAGGCTTTTTTCTGAGGACACGGGTGGGATTTGGCCTCGCATTGAGAGCTGAGACAAAGGCGCTGGCCCTACTTTTTTTTTTTTTTTTTTCTTCATATTCTTTTTTCTTTGCTTACGAGATCTGCGACGTGAGGCCATAGGCTCTGCCTGCCGCTCGGAATATGGAGGTGTTTCAAATTCTGTCACCTGGCAGAGTGTGAGCATAGTCAAGAATGGTGAGTTTGGGTAGCGTGGATCCTATGTCGCCTAAGAGAACAATATGGTCAAATGGGAAGGACCTGGAGGGAGACTGCAGTATAAGCCACAAGCATCGGTGTAGCGTAGAATCCCCTTGAACGGGCGCCAGCTGAAGAAAGGGTTTGGTATATTAGTAAAGAAGGAGTGGAGTGCTGCCGCTTCGGTCAGTGCATAGGAAAATGCACTCCAGGTGTCCGGGTGCGGATGCCCCTGGCTGTCTTAGAACAGGCGCTAGTGCTCCTTCTTAAAGCAGGAGTGTTCAAGTTTTAGCAGGGCGCCGTTCCTGTCACTCGGACTGTTAGAGAGTGCGGCATTGCTGGCCTGGGAGCTAGTGCGGACCTGCTAAGCAGGACAGACAGGTGGGCGCAAACAGGGCCGGATAAGTGTCCTAGCGGTGGGCGGCATGTGGGCCGTGGGCCGTAGTTTGGTCGCCTGCTCAGGTTCCGATGGGGCAGCAGGAAGCAGGCCCTCCCCTCACCCAGGATGACCTCTCTCCTGACGCTGGGAAGGAGCCCTGCTCTAAGAGGGAGGACCAGGACGGCTTGATGGCATTGCGCTCATGCGCCTTGCTGGACCCACCCCAGAGCAACACGGGCGCTGGCACGGAATGCAGTGGGGAATTAAGAAACCGTGTGGTGATGGAGTGTGGGGAGTACCTCGATTTAGTCCAGCTGTTCTCTTTTGAGGGACTGGCCTAGGTCTGTGTTGCACCAGTTGTTATGTGCGTTTACTGAGGCAATGTGAGGTCGTGCTTTG